CCTCTCTGGTCAAATTAAGATAAATAAATAAAGTTAAATAAAATCATTCTTTAAAAGAAAGAAAGGAAAGAATAATGCATTGTGTGGAGGTATCTAGTATTATAAACAAACACTGTGTAACTTCCACCTGGGTCAAGAAAACCTCACTCCCCGCTCCCATGCTTCTGCTAAGAACTCCCTCCTCTCTGCCCTAACCAGTATGCCAAGTGGTATTCACTGGACTTACATTATAATTTTATTATCTAATTTTGTATCCCCAAATAATGTAGGATTTTCATGCCTCCTTTTGAGCCTTATATAAATAAAACCTCACACATACCTTTAGACCTCATTTTTTTCTATTTTCCATCTGTCTCTCTTGTTCACAGATTTTACCCTGTGTCATGCGTTTAAAGTGCTTTCATTTTCAGAATTAGCATCAGTTACTGTTCTTTTTTTTTTTTAAAAGAATTATTTTATTGAACTTTTATTTCTTGGGACATTTTGGTTGATTCCATGTCCTAGCGATTGTAAATAATGCTGCAATAAACATGGATGTGCAAGTGTTTTTCCGACGGAAGGTTTTTCTATCCTTTGGACAAATACCTAAAAGTGGAGTTACTGGGTCATATGGTAGTTCTATTTGTAGGTGTCTAAGGAATCTCCATATCATTCTCCAAAGTGGTTGTACTAATTTACATTCCCACCAACAGTGTAGGAGAGTTCCCTTTACACCACAGCCTTGCCAGCACGTCTCATTACTTATTTTCTTAATTTTAGCCATTCTTACTGTGGTTAAGTGGTATCTCATTGTGGTTTTGATTTGCATTTCCCTTATAATAAGAGATGTCCAGCATGTTTTCATATGCTTTGGGGTCATTTGTATGTCTTCTTCAGAGAACTGTCTGTTCAGCTCACTTTCCCATCTTTCCCATACAGTTGGCTGGTTTATTTGGGGTTTTCAATTCTGTCCCACTGGCCTACCTGTCTGTTTTTGTGCCAATTCCATGCTGTTCTAATTGATTGGATTGATTATATTTTTTGTGGGTAAGCTGCTTGAGTTCTCTGTATATTCTGATTATCAATCCCTTATCTGGGAGAGAATTTGCAAATATATTTTCCCACTCTGAGGGTTGTCTTCTCACTCTGCTTATTGTTTCTTTGGCTGTGCAGAAGTGTCACAGCATAATATAGTCCCATTTGTCTATTTTTGGGACTATTGCCTGTGCTTTGGAGGTCTTTAAGAAGTCTTTGCCTACTCCAAGAGTTTTTACTATATTTTCCACCAGTATTATTATTTTTTTTGAGAAGTTTTTGCTATAAGGTGCATGCGTTCACCAGAAAGACAGAGAGACAGATAGACAGAAAGCGAGAAATCACCCCCCCCGGGGGGATGGTCACGCCGCAATCCCTTCTCCATTCTTCTCTTGGGATCTTGGGCATGCACACACACACACCTGGCATGAGTTTAAGCCACCAGGTCTGCTTCTCAAACCACAGTCAACTACATGGGAATCTAGTGACATAGCCATTATGCCAAGCTAGGGTCCCTATGAGTCTTTTTATTTCAGCATTAATTTCTTCTATAGTTATAAAGTCATTTAGGAGTAGATTGTTTAGTTTCCATGTGTTTGTGAA